TTAAAGCTATATATTTTATAAACACTTACAGAGCACAATCGGTCATTTTGGGTGGGATTCCAATCCTGTCTTCTGCAGTTTACTAACCATTTTTTCCGTCTATCCGGATCAGCAGGGAACTTATGACAATTAATTTAGATAAATGATGAAGGCTACGTTTTAATCAACCAACCAAAAGATTATATTTATGATACATTTGTAATATATTACCATTATGAACTAAAAAGAATATTTTGGGTTATAATTATTTTTTTAAGTTTTATACTTAGTTCAGACTTTTTCTATCTTCAAAATACGTACCTATGAAATTTAAAACCATTTCTTGAATGATTATTCAGAAATTCAGAGCACCATTCACAAATAAATGAGAAATGTCAAAAATTGGGCTCCACAATGGCGGACAAGTCTGCTACCTTTTATAGTGCCGTAACCAGCGATATGACGTCACGACCATTCCCGCGCGTTTAGTGTCGTTTCAAATGAATAGCCTGCTGTCAAAACTTTAATTTTTTATTGCAACTTAAATATTGCGATTTGAGGGCAGATATTTGGTATGCGAGATTTCTATAAATAGGCAAATATATTAAAGAAATTAAAAAAATGTTCAAGTTCCCCATTGTCGAAAGCGATTGGCCTTAATTAAACGCATACACACTTCATTACAGAAACTTGTTTGATTGGATTTCATCCAGTGTGTACACACCAACTTCTTTCTTGTTAAAATTATTTTGTTATATTATTGATGCTAGAGCAGCAACAGAGCTGAGAGTAACAAATAAATTTTAAATTGAAACCATTGTTGATGTGCTATGGAAGACCGGATGAAAATTCACGGTAGAATTCTATATTTAAGAAGAAAAAAATGTTTGAACTCCAAATAAACTTGCAACTCCTCTATTCTAAATCTTGGAAATCAGAGCATTGACATATCGTAGAAATAAAGCTAAAACTGATCTAGTCCAAAATATCCATTTTTGGCAAATGCACTTTAAAGCCGAGCCGAAAATAATATCAGAATTATCAAAAAGATCCTTTTTTTAATTCATTAATGTGGTTTTTTTGCTTCATAATTTGATATTTTACTTATAACTATTAAGTAAATGAAATTTAAAAATAAAGTTTGTTCTGTTTGTTTAAGACTTTTTCTTAGAAATTACTAATTATTATTTGTATAATGTTGGTATATTCTTTGGAATCGCATTTAGTCGTGCTCGTCCCAAAACACTGATCTTTTTAATTAATCCTGTTTGGCTATAATTATATTTAATGCTAATTTGTCTCGGATTTTCCTTCTCGTACCATATAGCTTTAATTTTCATCCCCGATACCTTATTTTCATCCCAGGTTTTTAATGTGTTCTTTGAGAAGGAACTTGCCAGTGCTTTTAAATCAAAAAAATCTGGAAGCCTATGCTCTTTACACTGATAAGGTTCACTTTTCTTATTTCTAAGTGGCTTAGAGCGAGCCAACCGGATCACATTAAGTAGATCATTCATAGTAAAAATAGCGGTATTTTTTCTTGCAGTCTCAGTGACGCTGTGCATTGAGTCAACCTCCATGTAAGAGTGACCTTTTTCCAAAAAGTTATGTTGTATGCTGGATAAATGAGTAGTTTGTTCCAAGAATATTAATAAATATTATTTTTATACAGGGTGTTTTGGAATGCCTTTATTTGGCACTCAAAGTGGACTGTATTTATTTTATAATTATAATGACAACCACTGGGTGTTTTTTACGATACTTTATTTTGTGCCTTGTTATAATCGAGTCTCTATCAACAACTACTTTTTTGTTTACAAACAACAACCGTTGCTACTGGTATCTCGAACTTCAATTATTTAAATTCTACTCTCAATTATTTTTACAGCACTAACGATTAACGATTCCTTAACAGACTCCCCGCTTTGAAAGTCCTACTCTTTCAACTAACCAAAAATTGCTGCCTGTTTATGTTAACAAAATCTAGAGGCAAAAATCCAAGGCCTAACTCTACTGCAAATAATTAACCTAAGCTTATTTAACTTAAACTATTCCCTACTTATTAATTCACATCCACAACTAATCAACTAGTAACGCACAAATCTGGTTAACGGAACGTCTTATGGTACCCTGAGGGGTTTTCATGTCCACAACTCTGCACACGTTGTCCTTACCGGGATATAACTTAACTATGCGTCCCAGTTTCCAGGCTAAGATTGGTCCCGAATCATGTGTGACTAACACTAAAGGCCCTACCTTAAAATTATCTTGAGAGTTACGCTTCCATTTTACACGATTTTGAAGCTCACTCAAATATTCGTTTTTCCACCTGGTCCAAACATGTTGCAAAGACACCTGAATACGTTGCCATTTCTTAAGCGAATTTTCTTTACATTCGGTTAAATTTAGTTCAGGAAGAACCATTAAATTTCCACCTATTATGAAAGTGCCGGGGTCAACGCAGTAAGATCTTCAGGATCATCATACATAGGACATAAAGGCCTAGAATTCAATATGGTCTCTATTTGTGTCAAAATGGTCAGAAACTCTTCAAAAGTGTATGAATTCACACCAATAACTCTTTTTAAATGGTGTTTAATGCTTTTAATGCCGGCTTCCCAGAGCCCACCGAAATTTGGAGCCCTTGCTGGAATAAAATGCTATTGGACCCGGTCAGAAACCAAGTCGGTAGCTAGGGCTTTAGTCAGTACAGAAAGTGAAGGTTGGGTAAGATGTGTTTGGTGTAAAGAGGGAGGTCATTCAATAAATAATTGCCTAGGGTTCTTAAGAATGGATTACAAGAAAAAATAGAAGGGGTAAAGACTTTCAGATTGTGCTTTAATTGTCTAAAACCTAATCACCCTGCTTGGAGATGTAGATCAAAAAAATGTGAGAAGTGCAATAAGTCTCACCATATTTTATTACATGTTGATAAAGAATTAGCAAATATAGATCAGAATGAAAGTCCAACTGTGTCAGACCCTCAATCATTCAATCATGTAGCCGTTTCGATGGTCAGAAATGTAGTTCCGGAAGCTGAGTTGAATAGCGAAATATTGGCAATTGCAGGTGAACAGGGAAGCGAGTCTATGCAAAAGGACGGTCATAGTGTATTGCTTTTCGCTTCTTCACAGGTTTTGCTGTCTACAGCACAGGTGCTAATAAAAAGCGGGGACGCGGTAGTAACTTGTATAGCTCTTCTGGATAGTGGCAGTCAAAGCAATTTTATTTCTGAAAATATGGTTAGGAAATTAGAGGTAGTGCCCAATAAAATCAATCATTTGGTCAAAGGAAATGGACAGCAGTTATCTAGCATTGACAAGCAAGTAGAAGTGGTTTTAAAATCACAAGTTTCACGTTTCAAAACAAATTTGATATGTTTGGTGTTACCCAAAATAACGGATAAATTGCCGCTGGTTAGTTTTGATCAAAATATGTTTGAAATACCAAGTGAGTTGGTTTTGGCTGATCCTAAGTTCAATGTCAGAAGTGAAATAGTGAAATAGATTTATTGTTGGGATCGCAAGTTTTTTGGACTGTTTTGGGATCTGAGCATATAACGTTAGGAGAAAATGTGCCTGTTAAACATGTTTGTTGGGTTGGATATTGGCTGGGAATTTGTCGGTTAATAATTTATGTTTGCCTGTTTCACTGAGTAGTTTGGTTGTAAATCAGAGTCCTCTTGAAAACCAATTGCTGATATTTTGGCAACTGGAGGAAGTTGACCCTGGGACAAAGCCAATTTTCTCAGCATCTGACAAATATTGTGACGCATATTTTGAGCAGACCACAAAACGCGACGAAGATGTTTATAGTTAGAATACCCTTCAAGAATAATTTGGGGAAGTCAGGGTTTTCCAGAGCTTTTGCGTGGAATAGTTTTGAAGCTCTGAAAGAAAAGTTTTTGAGAAATTCAAATTTGAAAAGGCAATATCAGAAATTTATGGGTGAATATAAATGGCTTTGTAATGATAGTAATATTTTGAATGAGTTTAATGTTGATGAGCAAATGGACGTGGCGGTTTTGAACATTGGCGAAAATCAGCGCAATAAAACTTTAGGTGTTTTTTGGAATGCGCCTCGAGATCTCATTCAGTGTCGTATTAGGAAAATGTCCGAAATAAATAGAGTGACTGAGAGGTCCATATTGTCCGTAATATGTCAAATTTTTTATCCTTGGGTTCTTTTGGGGCCAATAATAATAGTGGGTAAACTAATCTTTTAGGAATTGTGGAAGCAAAAAATAGGTTGGGATAATGTCAACATATCATCGGATTTGCAAAATAAATGGGGTACATTTTTGAAAGAACTACCATTGGTCAATAAATTAGAAATACCTCGTAGGGTATTTTATGCGGAATGTTCTAGGGCGGAACTCCATGGATTCTGTGATACATCTGAAAGGGCATATGGGGCGGTCTTATATACAGGGTTGCTCATTAGTGCGTCAAAGTGCGATATCTCAGTAAATATGAAGTTTACAAGAAAATTCGTCCAACGAAAGTTTTTCACGTTTAAAAGGTCCACATTCTAAAATTACTTTCCAATATACAGGGTGCATCATAAACGTGTGGTAGTTACCAACTCTGGTTTTTTAAATGAAACCCCCCCCTTTTTTGTTATTTTCAGATTGGCCGTTCAATTTTAATTTATGTTTGTTTCAACCGTTTTACCTGAAAAATTTACGATTTCCGAGTTATTCGTAAAAATGTGAAAGTTTTGACAGCTACTGGGTTCCACAGAAATCGATGCTGTACACTAC